AGGGTTTTTGGTGGGTATTGTTGGGGATTTATTTTGATTTTTGGGGATTTTTTTATGGGTTTATTGGTTTAAGGGATTACTTGGAATTTTTTTTGATTTTTGGGGGATTTTTTTTGGGGTTTTTGGGATTTTTCTTGGGATTTTTTAAATTTTTTTTATTTGTTTTTGATTTCTTGGGATTTTTTTGGATGATTTTTTTGCGGATTTTTTTGGGTTTTTTGGGAACTTTTTTGGGATTTTTTTTCATTTTTGACAATTTTTTTTTGTATTTTTGGGGGGATTTTTTTTTATTTTTAGGAAATTTTTGGGGGATTTTTTAGGGGACTTTTTGGGGAATTTTTTTTGATTTTTGGGGGATTTTTTTGGAATTTGTGGGGATTTTTTAGAGATTTTGGGGGGGGTTTAAGGGATTTTTGGGGACTTTTTGGGGTTTTTGGGAATTTTGGGGGGATTTTTTTTGAGGAATTTTTTCAGAGATTTTTTTGGGAATTTTTTGGGGAATTTTTTTTTTGATTTTTGGGGGATTTTTTTGGAATTTGTGGGGATTTTTTAGAGATTTTTGGGGGGTTTTAAGGGATTTTTGGGGACTTTTTTGGGGTTTTTGGGAATTTTGGGGGGATTTTTTTTGAGGAATTTTTTCAGAGATTTTTTTGGGGTTTTTGGGAATTTTTTGGGGAATTTTTTTTTGATTTTTGGGGGATTTTTTTGGAATTTGTGGGGATTTTTAGAGATTTTTGGGGGGTTTTAAGGGATTTTTGGGGACTTTTTGGGGGTTTTTGGGAATTTTGGGGGGATTTTTTTGGAGGAATTTTTTCAGAGATTTTTTTGGGACTTTTTTGGGAATTTTTTGGGGAATTTTTTTTTGATTTTTGGGGGATTTTTTTGGAATTTGTGGGAATTTTTTAGAGATTTTTGGGGGGTTTAAGGGATTTTTGGGGACTTTTTTGGGGTTTTTGGGAATTTTGGGGGGATTTTTTTGGAGGAATTTTTTGGAGATTTTTTTGGGAATTATTTGGGGAATTTTTTGGGGGATTTTTTTGGAATTTGTGGGGATTTTTTAGAGATTTTTGGGGGGCTTTAAGGGATTTTTGGGGACTTTTTTGGGGTTTTTGGGAATTTTGGGGGGATTTTTTTGGAGGAATTTTTTTGAGATTTTTTTGGGACTTTTTTGGGAATTTTTTGGGGAATTTTTTTAGGATTTTTTACGGGGATTTTTTGGGATTATTTTGGAATTTGTGGGGATTTTTTAGAGATTTTTGGGGGGGTTTTAAGGGATAACTTGGGATTTTGGGGGGCTTTTTTTGGGATTTTTGGGGGATTTTTTTGGAATTTTTTGGGGACTTTTTGGAGGATTTTTATTTTTTTGAGATCTTTTAAGGATTTTTTGAGGGGATTTTTTGGGATTTATTTGTATTTTTGGGGATTTTTTAGATTTTTTTGGGTTTAAGGGATAACTTGGGATTTTTGGGGGGGTTTTGGGGGATTTTTTGGGGGTTTTTGGCATTTTTTTAGGATATTTTTGAATTTTTTAGGGATTTTTTGGGATGTTTTTGGATTTTTATGAGAATTGTTTTGGGGGATTTTGGGGGGATTTTTATGTGATTTTTTTGGGGTTTTTTTAGGGATTCTTTGGGCATTTTTTAAGAAAATATTTAGGGGATTTTTTTGGGATTTATTTTGATTTTTGGGGATTTTTTTCGGGATTTTTGGGGGAGTTTTTTGTCGTTTTTCTGGGATTTTTGAGGAATTTGGGGGGATTTTTTTTTGGGATTTAAGAAATTTTTGGGGGATTTTTTTGGGGACTTTTTGGGGATTTTTGAGGAATTTTGGGGATTTTTTGGGGGATTTTTTTGGGGATTATTTAAGGATTTTTTGGGATTTTTTTGGGGATTTTTCAAGGATTTTTTGGGAATTTTTTGGTATTTTCTTGGGGATTTTTGGGGAGTTTTTTAGGATTTTTTTTTGGGCTTTTCTGAGATCTTTTGGAGACTTTTTTGGGGTTTATTTTTGACACTTTTTGGGATTTAAGAGAGATTTTCTTGTGAAATTTTGGGAAGTTTTTTTGGGGGGAATTTCTGGCATTTCTTTTGTGTTTTTGTGGGTATTTTTGGGGTTTTGGGAAGGAAATTTTGGAGGAATTATGGTGGAAATTTGGGAATTCTGGGAATGCCAGGAAGTTCGGGAAGGGGGCAGGGATTTTTTGGAATTTTTGGGGTTTTTTTTGAGGATTTTTCCAGAATTTTTTTGGATTTGGGACAGAATTTTTGGGAATTTCGAGAGATTATTTTGGGAATATTTTCATTTTCCGGGAATATTTTGGGTGGGACTTTTTCGTTTCTTTGGGAATTTTTTGGGGGGGGAGGATTTTTAAGGGAATTATTTTCAATTTTTTGGGAATGTTTATGGGATTTTGGGGTTTTTTGGGAATTTTTCCAGGTGCAGGCAGAGATCGAAGGTTGGGATTTGCCGCCGCTTCCGGAGCGCTACCGGAGAGTCTGCGCCAGCCTGGGCCTGGGTGAGCCCCAAAATTCCCAAAAAATCCTTCTGGAATGGCCTGGGAATTCTGGGAATGATCCTGAGGATCCCTGGGAGAGATTTTGGAGGGAATTTGGGGGATTTTGGGGGGATTTTTGGGGATTTTTTGGGGGTTTTTTGGGGATTTTTGGGGGATTTTATGGAGATTTTAAGGGAATTTTGGGGGAATAGTTGGGAAATTTTTGGGGAATTTTCTGGGGATTTTAAGGGGATTTTGTGGGAATTTTTTTGGAATTTTCAGGAGATTATGGGGGATTTTATGGTGATTTTATGGGAATTTTATGGAGATTTTATGGGAATTCTTGGGGAATTTTCTGGGGATTTTAAGGAGATTATGGGGGATTTTATGGTGATTTTATGGGAATTTTATGGGAATTTTATGGGAATTCTTGGGGGATTTTAAGGGAATTTTGGGG